GTTTATACTGTCTTTAATTAGACAATTGATCATGTGTTTGTACTGTCTTTAATTAGACTTTGTGTTCCAGTTCATCATGTGTTTGTACTTTCATTAATCATACTTGTGTTCCGGTTTTTGTGTGTATGTACTGCTGAAATTAGACTGTGTGTTCCAGTTCATTGTGTGTTTGTACTCTCCTTAATTACACTTTGTGTTCCGGTTCATTGTGTGTTTGTATCCTCCTTAATTACACTTTGTGTTCCGACTGATTATGTGTTTGTACTTTCATTAATTATACTTGTGTTCCGGTTTTTGTGTGTATGTACTGCTGAAATTAGACTGTGTGTTCCAGTTCATTGTGTGTTTGTACTCTCCTTAATTAGACTTTGTGTTCCAGTTCATTGTGTGTTTGTATCCTCCTTAATTAGACTTTGTGTTCCGACTGATTATGTGTTTGTACTGTCCTTAATTAAACTTTGTGTTCCGACAGATTATGTGTTTGTACTATCCTTAATTAGATTTTGTGTTCCAATTGATTATGTGTTTGTACTGTCCTTAAAGAGATTTTGTGTTCCGATTGATTATGTGTATGTACTATCTTTAATTAGACATTGTGTTCCAAATCATTGTGTATTTGTACTGTCTTTAATTAGACTTTGTGTTCAAAGTCATCGTGTGTTTGTACTGTCTTTAATTAGACTTTGTGCTCAAACTCATCGTGTGTTTGTACTGTTTTTAATTAGACTTTTTGTTCCGGTTCAATGTGTATATGTACTGTGTTTAATTAGACTTTTTGTTCCGGTTCAATGTGTAAATGTACTGTGTTTAATTAGACTTTGTGTTCCAACTGATCGTGTGTTTATACTGTTTTAAATAGACGTTGAGCTTCGATTGATTGTATGTTTGTACTGTCCTTAAATAGATTTTGTGTTCTGATTGACTATGTGTTAGTACTGTCTTCTGTGTTCCAATTGATCGAGTGTTTGTACTGACTTTAATTAGACTTTGTGTTCTGGTTCATTGTTTATATGTACTGTTTTTAATTAGACTTTGTATTCCAATTGATTATGCGTATGTACTTTCTTCCATTAGGCTTTATGTTCCGGTTCATTCTGTGTTTGTACTGTCTTTAATTGGACTTTGCGTTCCGATTGATCGTGCGTTTGTACTGTCTTTAATTTGACTTTATGTTCCAATTCATCTTGTTTTTGTACTCTTTTTAAATAAGCTTTGAGTTTCGATTGATCGTGTGTTTGTACTCTTTTCAAATAAACTTTAAGTTTCGATTGATTATATGTTGTTACTGTCCTTAATTAGACTTTGTCTTCAATACATTTTGTGTTTGTAGTGTCTTTAATTATACTTTGTGTTCCAATTCATCGTGTGTTTGTACTGATTTAAATAAACTTTGTGTTTCAATTCATTGTGTGTTTGTACTGTTTTAAGTAAACTTTGTGTTTCAATTGATCGTTTGTTTGTACTGTCTTTAATTAGACTTTGTGTTTCAATTGACCGTGTGTTTGTACTGTCTTTAATTAGACTTTGTGTTTCAATTGATCGTGGTTTGTACTGATTTTAAATAGACTTTGAGTTTCGATTGATTATGTATTTGTACTGTCCTTAATTAGGTTTTGTGTTCTGATTGATTATGTGTTTGTACTGTCTTTAATGAGACTTTTTGTTCCAATTGATCGGGTGTTTGTACTGTCCTTAAATAGATTTTGTGTTCTGAGTGATTATGTGTTTTTACTGTCTTTAATTAGACTTTGTGTTCCAATTGATCGTGTGT